TTTTGGATTTTTTTTCTTTCTCCACATCCCTTTATGTCCATTATTTTAAATTATATATTTTTTCCGTTTCTTCCAATCTCTTTTGTAGATCTGTAGAAGTATATTCGCAATTCCATATATTTTATTATATATCATACTACAACAATTGTTACCATCTTATTTACTTCAGTTTAGGATCTTGTTACTTAGATTACTCTGTTAATATTCATATTGTTTTATAATTTTTGTCTAAATATTATGGAACTTACACAATTCTCTAAATCTTTTTTTTAATCCGTTCTAGCTCTGAAGAATAACTGCAAAGTCGGGTCGAAACGTTGGCTTTTAATAAAATAGTTTTGCCACTATCTAGTCTATTTATGACCGCCACCCCGGACCATCTCCTTCCTTAATAATGCAACGGTCAACTATTAAATATTCAATATTAATTATTGATGTGTTAATTACATTTTTAATAAAAATTATTAACCTATTTTAAAATGATTTAATTATTTATCGATTACTTTACTACCTATCAATATAAATTAACCTTTTCTAAAAATTCATCAAAAATTATTTCTGTAATGATTTAAGAAATCTAATTTAATAATTTCAAAGTCTCAGTTGCTTCGTGTCGAGTTTTTTTCGTATTTGAAAACATCAGGAATGAACTTTATCGTAAGATATATAAGATATATTGTGAAATTTCGAGAAGTGAAGACAATATTTTTTTTAATTTATGATATTTACAACTGTATTACAAATAAAAATACATTCAGTAAATGTGAACAGAGAGAAATAATAACACGAAACCACTTGTTGAGAAACTATCCACTAGTAGCACTCTAAAAATGTATTTAAATAAGGAGATCTCCAGGCAATCATCTTTTCAGACGTCTCGGAGAGTTATCAGAGATCGAAGAGAAAGCATGTTTATAAACACGAGGGTTTGCATGGTTCTGAAGTTTGTTATGGAAGGATAGATATCTGGATTGGGCCAGATCAGAAACATAAGTAACATTGAGGTCGTTATGGATGATTTTATTTGTGACAAATTAAGGAGCAGTGAGGATTTTACGAAGGATTTTGGATTGTAAGGATTGGATAGGAGAGGAATTCTATGGCTTAGTGGAGCCCAGAGCTCAACTCCGTAAGTCCAAATAGGTCTTATTGTAGTCATGTATATGAGTCTTTTGTAATTGACTGGAAGCTTAGAGCGTTTGTCTAATAAAAACTGGAGTAGTCGGAAACGTCGAGCGGTTTCCAAGTTAGACGTTTGTCTTAGTGGAGTCCAAGGTATCCCTAAAGTTTACTTGCTAATTTTAGGAAACGTTAGTAATCCGAACTATTTAATATAAAAAGTCGATTCAATATAAAATTAAGTATAATGTAATGACGTTTGGAGTCGATGTATTAAATAAATATTCATGCATGTATAACTTAGCCGTTACATAACCTCCTATTCCAATTTATTTATCCCAATCGTACATTTTCCCTGAACTGTTGGAGTCTGACTTTAAATTCACGATTACATAACGGCTAGTTCAGAGTTATAAAACATAAAAAGAACGACATAAATAAAAATGTTTAACTGTTGTGATTGCCACCTTGCACACTTATTGTTCAGTAAAAGAAAACTCCTATACGTTTAATCTGAAAACCTCTTTTGCATGAAGTTAAGAAGTAGAAAAATAAGTAGTAGGATAGCTTAGTGGTAGGTCACTGGTCTTCTAATGGTCAAGATCCCGGGTTCGAATCCTTGCTCATGGAAGAAATAATATTTATTTATATCTGTTTCATCAGCTGTGGGTAAACCCTGGGATCAGGAGACCCTCCTGGGGCACACACATGCTCTATAAAGTGGTTACCCTTAATTACATAATTAATTAAGGAAGAAAACCTGGTAGTTGAGCGTGATCTCAGTCAAATCACCCCCTTGCATAACCGTTGACTAAGAAACCTTCTCTACATAGTACTGAACCCAAGAGACCTTTTTTTTTTTGGAAGAAATAGGTAAATGTACCACAAATAATAGACAGTTTTCAACTCACTATATAGATTTAAAATACCTATAGATGATACAAATATATTTAGATTTTCTGCTAGAGTACACTTAAGAGGTCAATATCTGAAACTCTAGTGATATTATGACACAATAGTCGATAGACAGTTAATTTTGAAACGGGGCAAGGCAAATAGTCTGTGGTACAGACCCCTATTTATCAAATTATTAACATCCGCCTGAAACATTGTAAGTAGTTTCATCTTATCGTAACTAACAACTATTTTATTTACGAAAACTCTTGGAATTGGGGCGTTTTAAATCTGGAGGGGAGCAAACTTTATCAATTTAATTAAGTAATAAAAACTCGTAAATGCGGATTTGCTTTCTAATCGGGTCGTAAGATAATTTGATCACAAAATCGAGAAAAAAGAAGGCCTTAAAAAATATTGAGCCGTTTGTCCGTTGTCTGCCTCGTTATTTTGAGAATTTGGGGGAGTCGGTCACTCCAAATGACTCAATATTTTTGAAGACCACTATTCTTTCTTGATTTTGTGATCAAATTATCTTACGATCCATGTATCAAGCAAATGGGTATTTACGAGTTTTTAGTACTTAATTAAATAGACAAAGTTTGTTCCCCTCTAGATTGAAAACGCCCCAATTACAAGAATTTTCATAAATAAAATAGTTGTAGGTTACGATGAGATGAAACTATTTACGAAGTTTCAGGCGGATATTAATAAATAATTCGATAAAAGGGGTCTGTATCACTAACTATAAGTATTTATTCCAAGGAAGTATTTATTTTCCTTACCACATTTATTTAGGTGATAAGTTTAAAATTTCAATTCACAAATCTGCAATTTGCCATTTATTATTTAAAAACTGAGCAGAATTTAATTTTAGTGTTTTTAACTATATATCCACTGCTAGGGTTCTTTAAAGTCATTACGAAAAATTAACTAAATGGCCTTATAGAAAAATGTATCAGTAATAGACACTGTATTGGTATAAGACAGTTCAACTCATTAAGGAATTACAGTTCTACATCCTATAGTAAGTGCAAATGTATTAGTAAATTTGCAGCAAGGATACTTAGATGGGTGATGGCTGAACCTCAAGTTATATCATGCCACAATAGCCGAAATAATGCTCAATAGTCTAGTATAGGGGACAAAAGATTATTTAACTGGATAGTTCAGACAAGCATCAAGTGGATGCAATTGTTACTTATAATGTAAATCCAGTAAGTATCTGACATTTTGGAACCTGGAAGTACAGATTTTTAAAACTATGATACTTTTTATTGTTCTTTAGGTATTTGAAACAAATCAAATGAAGTTATGGAAAATAATAAGCCTGATTTTATCGAAGAAGATGTTTAGTTTACAGAAATAATCCCAAGATGAATGATTTGACTAAATAATTCAGACAATATTCACCGTCAGAACAAACGTTCCAAATTAATGTTGGGAATTTCTCTTAAAGTGCTTATTTCCGGTACATTTATCTTAATTGCCATTATTCCTCCCTCCCCCCCCCAAAAAAAACAGTGAAAAAAGCGGAGTCCTCTCCAAAATTAAATTCTGGTATCACTGCTGCCTAAGAATATCCTCAATTGGAATTAGAATACTCTAATCAAAAAGTAAATGAAGTTGTTTTGTTTTTTTATTCTATAATATTATTATTGGAATAATAATAATACGATCTGGCACAATCAAGGGAATTGGACATTAAGGCTCTGTGTGTACGTTCATACTATTATATACAAATTGAGAAAAAATAAATAACAAGAAAACGTCTAAGTAAAAAAAATATACAATAAAATAATAACAACAATATAAGATATTTGTAAAAAGAAAAAAAATAGATTAGAAGGATAATAAAAGGAAAAAAATAATAATAGTAAAAGGCTTAGCGAACCCGAAGGTTCGATGCCGACACCACCAATCGCCCATTACACACCTCCCGCCACGTTCACCGTCCAAACCCAGTCCCTTCAGATCGGTTTTAATGCAATCTTCCCACCTTCGCTTCGGTCTACCCCTCGGACGCTTACCATTCGGCATAGCAAATATTAAAAATTGTGAGGAATAAAAGGATATAAGTGGAAAAAAAATTAAGGGAAAAAATAATATAAGAAAAAAAATTGTGAAATACAAAAAAAAAAATACTTATCACACACATTCCTATATACTATATTTATATTCAGCCTAGGGAACCCTGAACCATGCTTTGATCGTGTTGCTCGTGTGAAAGGCAAAACAGGGTTCAAAGAGATCCCAGCGCTTCTCTGTTTGAATGTCAGTGGAAGCTGAGTGAGAATGCTACCACATACACTCAGGACTTGAGCGGAGAAGCTGGCCAGTACCAGAACTCCAATAGCGTATTCATAAAAGATCTAGAGACCATTGCCGCTTCAACCTTCCTGGGGGATTATATGGATGTTTGGAGCTGGAGAGGGATTGTACTAAGGGATTAAGATGATGGATATGTTTTTTTATGGAACTTTGAGAATCTGGATGGAATTAGGTCAAGGACAAATGGGATGTTGAGATTATGATGTTAGGTTTTATTTGTGACGTAGTATGGATCATTGACTACTGTTCGAAGGACTTTGGATTGAAAGGATTGGAATATTTATTTATTTGATGTTCGAAGATTTAGTTGTCTCCCACAGTTCAAGTCCGTAGGTCCAGATGGGTTTTAGTACAGTCCTATGTATTAGTAGTTTGTTTTCAATAGAACGGTGTAAGTTTCGGTTCAGTAGTCTATATAGCTGGCCAAATTGTCGAATAATTTCTTGTCTTTTAAGTCTGGTATTAGGACTCCAACTCTCTTATCTAGGAGGAATCCCAAGTAGAGAAGAGTAGAGTTAAAAAATATAGGCGGCAGGATTTGCGTGGGAATATGAATGTAATATTCTTACACTTGGATAGTAAATAAAGCAAAGATAATAATAAGTTTATTATGATATAGTTATTTATTTTATTATAATTTTTTTCGTACCCACTATCTAGAAACCTGAAAGATATATAATTACAAAACTATTATACTTCCTATTGCCCTTTATGTTTGACATAAAACAAAGGAAATAATATAATATTTTGATGTAATAGAAAATTAAGGTTTATGTACAGTATTTAATATGATAATTTGACTTATAACCAGTAGATATTATTGGACCAATAAATTTTAAGGGACATATAATAGCATAATAAAGTTTAGTTTTGTTATATCGATTATATTTGTATACATTGCAATTTAATTTCCATATATTTCCATTACAAAAGGAATCCTTAAACAATTATTTTCCTTATTGCCTCTAGACTAACCAATACATAATCCTAAATTTGAAGGAAAAGTTGAACAAATAACGTTAATGGATGAAGAATGATGTTACTGGATAGCTCAAAACAAATCGTACTACATTTGAGAAACAACAACTCCTTAAGTTTTTTGAAAAGGAAGGGTTATCTAAAGTACTTATCGAATATGTACTACCTATTACATAGCCCTAAATGTTATGGCTAAGTTTAGAAGTTCAGTGAAAGTAAAGAAAAATTATTTACTTGATAGATGAGCATCAAGTAGAAATAATTAAAGATGTGCCTTAAAAAAATTATCAGACTGTATCGAAGGATGATGAAAAACTAAATAATATAAATTGATCTGAAGGCTTTGTGAGTTCACATTAAATTGTTTCATGACTTAATTAAAAAAAAAAATCGTAAACTAAACTAGATAAGTCCGTTATGTAATATGAAGAATGATGATTGGATTTTATAGTTCTGACCTGTGCATAGTAGTTATTATTGAAGTGGTACTTAAAGTCAGTAATGGATACAAAGTTTAATTTTTTTTTATGTACATAAAGAAAACTGAAATAAAGTCCTATTAAAATGTAATCAAACGAACAATAACACTTTTAGTGATAATTTTTTATATTTTTGAAGTGAAAATTTCTCTAGACGCGTTTTGCACATTTTTTTTTAGGAGAATGAATTATATTGAGCCGTCAGATTTCCTATGGGTAAGGCTCGGGTAAAGTCGGCTGGAATCGACTAATTGAAGTTGGAAATAAATTATATAGTTTAATATTGTTAGCGAGGGAAATATTCATCATTTCATCGTCTTTGCAATGAGCTATTATTCAAAAGTGTATCTTAAAGCGAGGCCGTGTTAGAGAGACGAAAAGGGGGGAAAAAATGTCGAAAACTAAATGATAAGGAGTTTTATTGAAGATATGGATTAAAATATCTGAGAAACTAATAATCGGACTTGATTAAGCGAGGGAATTTTTAAGAATTTCATTCCCTTCATAATGATCTATTATTTATTACTCATATTTCATATTAGTAATCTTGCCTTGTTTATGTTTGGTTGATGTGGTCTAAATCACACACACCTTAGTTTTTTTTTCATAATATTTTGGGTACAACGGGAATTCCAAAGTCTTCATGTAGATTCCATGTGAATAAACCGGACGTTTTACGTCGTAAAGTAGGATACTTCACAGATTATCTTAGCTTAATTTCTTTTCTTTTTTTTTCATCAGGTGTAAATAATAAGTTGTTCAATATAACAGAGAGCATATTCTACATGATTACAAAAACAGGATATCTCAGCAACAATCCACAATAGAAGTTGGAGTCGGCTGGAGTCGACTAATTGAAATTGGAAATAAATTATATAGATTATGTTGTATGCGAGGGAAATATTCATCATTTCATCCTCTATGCAGTGAGCTATTATTCAAAAAAGTATCTTAAAGCTAGGACGTGATAGAGAGACGCAAAGGGGGAAAAATGTCGATAAACAAATGATAAGGAGTTTTATTGAAGATATGGACTAAAATATCTCAGAAACAAATAATCGGACCTCCATACTTTAAGCGAGGGAATTTTTAAGAATTTCATTCCCTTCATAATGATCTATTATTTATTACTCATATTTCATATTAGTAATCTTGCCTTGTTTATGTTTGGTTGATGTGGTCTAAATCACACACACCTTAGTTTTTTTTTCATAATATTTTGGGTACAACGGGAATTCCAAAGTCTTCATGTAGATTCCATGTGAATAAACCGGACGTTTTACGTCGTAAAGTAGGATACTTCACAGATTATCTTAGCTTTTTTTTTTTTTTTTTTACATCAGGTGTAAATAATAAGTTGTTCAATATAACAGAGAGCATATTCTGCATGATTAACAAAAGCAGGATATCTCAGCAACAATCCACAATATAAGTTGGAGTCGGCTGGAGTCGACTAATTGAAATTGGAAGTAAATTATATAGATCATGTTGTATGCGAGGAAAATATTCATCATTTCATCCCCTATGCAGTGAGCTATTATTCAAAAAAGTATCTTAAAGCTAGGACGTGATAGAGAGACGAAAAAGGAGGAAAATGTCGAAAAACAAATGATAAGGAGTTTTATTGAAGATATGGACTAAAATATCTCAGAAACAAATAATCGGACCTTCATACTGTAAGCAAGGGAATTTTTAAGAATTTCATTCCCTTCATAATGAGCTATTATTCATTACTTATATTTCATATTAGTAATCTTGCCTTGTTGAAGTTTGGTTGATGTGGTCTAAAGGACACACACCGTAGTTTTCATAAGATTTTGGGTGCATTGGGAATTCAGCCCAAAAGCCTTTATGTTGACTCCCTGTGCCTAAAGCTGACGTTTTACGTCGTAATGTAGGATACTTAACCGATTATCTTCACTCATTTTTTTTTTTTTTTTACCTCAGGTGTAAATAATGAGTTGTTCAATATAATAGAGAGTATATTGTGCATGATTAACAAAAACAGGATATCTCTGCAACAATCCACAATATAAGCTGGAATCCTCTTACCTCTTTGGTGGAAGCGGTCTTGTGACTCCAGGACGAAGACTTGGGTATCTGCCCGGGGGAGAGCTCTGGACTGCCGAGTCCTCGCACCAGATCCCCGTTGACGTTGGACGGCTTCCTCGGGACCCGGACTGAGGACCACTTCACCGTCCGCCCGCCGTCGCCATCGCGGACTGCGACGAGGCTGCAACGGTGACTCTGACTCCCGCGGAACTCGTACTTCCTCCTCTTCGTGGAGCCGGTCTCCTCCTCGTAGCTCTCGGTCCGGATGATCGGGACGTCCATCCCTACGGGGGCATGTCTCTCGGTGGACTGGCCGGGACAGCGCTGGCCGCGCAGCCGCACGCCCCTCCATTCATACCGCCCCGTAACGTCGCCCGATTATGATTTGTTTATTTTACCTCAGCCCTTAGTGGTCGTGAACTTGTTCAATATAATGAGGGCGATAACTCCTGGGTGAAAATAATACATTATAAATTAAAAAAGACTTGGATAACAATTTACTTTATATTTATTTTTGTCACAACTATGCGATACTTTGTCTTGTGTTTTCCGGAAAAATAATGCAGAATTTTTAGTTTTCTATGAAATAACGCGCTATACAACAAATTGTTCACGTTTACTTGATTATTCATTTGTATAAATGTCAATACTTTTAATCCTATTCCAAACCATAATGTTTGTTAACCTCTGTTGCAGTTCACTGCTTAGAAATAACTTCACTAAGATGCCAACGCGTGATTTTGTAAAATATTGTTTTACGAGTTTAAACTCGGTCAGTCGTAAACCAATGACTTCCTGTTCTTCAGTATCCTTTAACAACGCCTCACTTATTCCTGTTGAACAAATCCGTTACCTAGGACACCACCTGGACAAACGTCTAGCTTGAAATCCTCCTGGACAAACGTCTAACTTGGAATCCTCATAGAAGAATCGACAAGAAACTGTTCGACGTTTCCGCTCACTCCAACACTTACTAGACTAACGCTCTAAACTTTCTATTAATTACAAAAGACTAATATACATGACTATAATAAGACTTATTTGGACTTACGGAGTTGAGCTATGGGGCTCCACTAAACCATAGAATTCCTCTCGTATCCAATCCTTACAAACCAAAATCCTTCATAAAATCCTCAATGCTCCTTACTATGTTACAAATAAAATCATCCACAATGACCTTAATGTTCCTTATGTATCAAATTGGCCCAATTCAGATATCTTTCCTTCTATAATAAACTTCATAACCATCCCAACCCTCTTGTTTCTATCCTTGCTTTCTATTCGATTCCTGATAACCCTCAGAGGTGTCTGAAAAGAAGATGACCACGTGATCTCCTAATATAGATATATTATTAGAGTCCTACCAGTGGATAGTTTCTCAACAAGCGTTTTCATGTGATTATATTCCTGTGTACACATTAACTTGATGTATTTATATTGTTATACAATTGTAAATATCTTGAATAAATAATTTTTAAAAAAATATTTATTTTTGTCTCCACTATACGAAGCCACATTAATATTGGGTTGACCGGAGGATAATGCAGGCTTTTGAATTTTATTGAAAATACCTTTTTATTTTAATATGAGGTATTTTAAATAAAATTCAAAATCCTGCTTTATCCTTCGGACAACCCAATATTATTGTGGCTTCGTATAGTGGAGACAAAAATAAATATTTTTTTAAAAACTGTTTATTCAAGATATTTACAACTGTATAACAATATAAATATATCAAGTAAATGTGTACACAGGAATATAACAAACTGTTTACATTTACTTGATTATTCATTTGTATGAATGTCAACACTTACTAATCCTATTCCAAACCATAATGTTTATTAACCTCTGTATCATTTCACTGCTTAGAAATAATTCAGTCTTTACTAAGATGTCAACGCGTGATTTTAGTATAATTTCGTTTTACGAGTTTAAACTCGGTCGATGTGGGACTCAGACGGCCAGACACATCAATCAAGTCTGGTTCGAGAGCAGCATTAATGATTTCACTGTTCAACGGCGGTTCAAAAAATTTCGGGAGAGAGACTTCAGCCTTGAAGACAAACAAGGTCATGAAAGGAATTCCTATATTGATGACAATGTTCTGCGGGGTGGAAGAAACCCCTAGAACAAGTGTTCGAGAACTTTCAAATAAACTTAACCGTACCAAATCTTTGTTGACCGAGTCAATGCGATTGGAAAAGTAAAAAAGCTTGAACATTGGGTTCCACATACATTAAACAACCGCCGAAAAATCCAGCGTTATGAAGTTTGTTTACACATCTTTGCCGAAACAAAAACGTCACAAAGACTATTGCAACTTGGATATGAAACTCTGCCACATCTGAACTCTCCGTAGTTCTCGGCTACGGATTACCATTTTTTAGACACCTGGGCCACTAAACAAAAATTTTAAGGTACAAAGGGAATCAGAAAATGTGTTTTTTCCGTGTAAATTTTCAAAAAATTAATGATTTAACGTACTACAGCTGGAAAAATCACTTTTTTAAAGTATACTAAGCTAAAAAAAATCCTCACCCTAAACTACTTCAAACGAATTATACCGTAATCACTCTGTTGATTTGAAAGTATATGAGCTTCACTTCAATAAGTAGAAAAAAACTGTTCAGCTCCTGAAGAGCATCGAGTTCATTGCTTTGGAACAGTACTTGTATGAACGTACTGTTTCAAGATGAATGGTTGAGCATGAAGATGATTTGGAGATCTCCAGTTGTCATATTAGTTTACCATAATACATTGAATATATTACATATTTACATTGCTTAATATCAATTTAGGTTATATAGTTAGCACGTACAGCAAATATATTGTAATCGTAACAGACATCAGGTACACAGAAGCGTTGGGATTGTAACTTATCCTGTTTTCGTTTAAAAAACCTATGACGTCAAACAATATATATATATAATTTATAATGATATATAATTCTTGATAAGTTTAAAAACCTATCATTTAATTGCAGGGATGCGGTTGAGAGAGTAGCGCTGGGTTCTCGTGGAGTTTCCTCGCCTGATTGTAAATAGTATATACAGGTATGCATGTGTTTTTTGTTTAGTTTTAATTTTCGTAATTTTAGGTTATTTTATTTCATTTATTGTTTGTACTTTTTGATTATTATTTATTGTTATTTTGCTTCTATTTATTTTCTATTTTATGTACATATAGTGAGAATGTTATCCTACCTCACTATAACTAATGTCCAAGAGACAGATTGTTGTAATACTCAATAAATAAAGTTTTAAAAAATAATAAAATAAAAATTGCAATATACAGGTTTTTTATATTTAAGTATCCAAACTGCAAAAATGAACTAAGGACCTCAAAACAAGAAAAAAAATTCCTCTGAAGGTATGTCCGCAAATGCTTTGTTTAGAAGATATTCACACCTAAAGATTTTCGTTGTTATTAATTATTTATGTTACATGAAACAAATAAAACCTATTTATTTATCCTAACTACTTTATTAATTAAATGTAAACATTAACATTCTTATTAAATGTTGTTCAAAGTGAAGGTATGTTCTTCAAACGCTTTGTTTAGGAGATGGATCAGATAGATTACTAACATGTCATTTTATCTCTAACTGTATAAAAACAATTGGCAACATAAGAATTAATATTAGAATTAGCATTGGGAACTCTCAATAACATTTATCAGTTTGTAAGAGGCTTTCGCAGAGTACTCATCATTATGCCTTCCATTTGTACTAATGGTGAATATTTTTTTGTTTGGGGTGACATTAAACGAAATTTCTATGCAAGTCCGGTCAATGGCCTTAATTCCTTACGAAGAAGGATAATTTAATCTTGTGAAACAATGACAAATATCCAGTGCCGTTCTGCCACAGGTGCTGTTGAAGAAAGATGCCGAGCCTGTCTTAATGCTGAAGGAAATCACTTTGAACAACATTTAAAATGAATTTAAAATTTACCTTTAAATAATAAATTAGTTGGAACAAATAAAAAAATGTTATTTACTTAATATAAATTAAATAATTCATAACAATGATAATCACACCTAAGTGTGAATATCTCCTATACAAAGCGTTTGCGGACATACCTTCATAGGAATTTTTTTTCTTGTTTTGAGGTCCTTAATTCATGTTTTCAGTTTGGCCATTCAAACCTAAAACACCCTATATAAAAGCGAAGAATATAAATATTAACATTATTTTTTATTGGATAATAGCCTTCCAAATAACTGTGGTACCTGTGAAATTCCAATATTGTTTTATGGATATCACAAAAAAGCTATTTTCTCTCTCTTTCTTTTTGTCTAGTGGGCTAAGATATGCGGCTATTACAAAGATGAACATCCTTTAGTGAATAGTGGATTAGGTCTCAAAAATTGAGTAACTGTGAGTATTGTTGACCAAGGCCGTCTAACTGTTGCAAGACTAAAATTAAGGCAAAATAATTACTAATACTTGACACTCTTAGTTACTATATGTTAATAATTGGTGTAACAAATATACGTTTGCATTTAACTCCTCTAAACATTCGGGCTTAGTTAGGTATCTCCTATCTAAAATCTCTATAGTAATAAGCTAATAAGTAACTGCAAGACTGTTGCAAGAGTCTTGCGCAAGACCAAGACCATGACAAAGACTGAGTTTGCAAGACCAAGAGTCGTTTCGGTCTCACATTTGGCCACTAGCGGATCCAGGATTTAATTTTGGGGGGGGGGCTTCAGCCCGAAAGCTGTTTTTTTCATAAAAATAACGATAATTACTTTGAAAAAAAAGAAAGAAACTAACTACCTGTATGAAATGGTGTTTAAGTGATTCCTAAAACCCTTTTAAATGTAATTACACAAACAATAATACTTTAAGAGATACTTTTTAAATATTTTTTTCGAAAAAACATGGCTATATTTTACCATTTTGGGGGGGGGGCTTCAGCCCGAAAGCCCTCCCCCCCCCTCCGTAGATCCGCATGTGCATTTGGCCAACACGGACTAAGAGAATACCAAATTCCCAGTTGTTTTTTTTCTCCATAAGAATGATTTTGCGCTTAATACACAATGCACAGGTCACACAAATATATTCCCATTTTTATCTCTTTTTTTGCTAACCATTGAAATATAATACTGAGGAATAGAAAATTAAATCAATCTCCTACAACAATACCACATAATTTAATAAAATTTAATTCAATCCTCGAAAGCAATAAAATAAAATGAAATTAATTTTTAATATGTTATTATTAGATTCAGTTACATTGTTATTGTTATATTTCAGTGATAAATTAATCACCAGTTTTATTTGTATTATTATGATAAGTCTTATGGATGAATCAGATATATACATACATATATAAATTAATCCAGTCC